AAAAGTAAATAAACATTAAAAATTTGTTTTTTAAGTCGATGACTTATGTACGTAAACAAGCAGTTTACTTTACAGTTTAATAACACTATAGTATATCAGTTTTCAGTAGACATGTACCATATATGTGAGAGAGAAGGGCTCAATGACTTTTTGTCTTATTCACCATATGAAGCTAATTTTAAAAGAAGAGATTTCTGGCTTAATTAATTACAGATCAGCTTGGAAACTTAAAAAGGTATGTTAGCTTGTACACCGAGGTTCATAGTGGCATTGTTCATGAGAGCCAAAAGACGGGAAGCAACCCAAATATCCATCAACAGATGAATGGATAAACAAAATGTGATATATGCATTGTATGGACAATGGAATATTATTCAGCATTACAAATGAATGAGATTCTGATACATGCTACAGCATGGATGAACCTTAAAACGTTATGCTGAATAAAATCAGCCTGACACAAAAGAACAAATTGTATGATTTGTATAATTCCATTTATATGAGGTACTAGAGTAGGCAAATTTATGGAGACAGAAAGTAGAATTGAGGTTGCCAAGGAGGAGGGAGGGAGGGGTGAGGAGCGGTTGGGGGGGGTACAGAGCTTCTGTTTGGGATCGTAAAGGAGTTCTGGAGACGGAGAGTGGTAGCGATTATGCAATATTGTGAATGTACCTAATGCCACTGAATTGCATACTTAAGATGGTGACGGCAGGAAATTTTATATTATGTATATTTCACCGCAACTGGGGGGCAGGGGGAAGCCACACTGAATTGGTATTGAAGAAGCTCCAGCCACGTGGCCGGCAAGGAAAGACGTCACTGCACAAATAAAAGATGTTGCTTCCAAAGGCAGTACACCCTTTATCCGTGGAAGACAGTGGGGGCCCGTAGCATGCGTTCAGACCCTGCCTTGCCTTCGAGTGAAACGCCGGAAATCGTGAATACAAACTAACCGTGGCCACTGAGTCTGAGTCTCCTCAGCCCGCAGGGCCAAGACGAAAGTGAGTGTAAGTGTCTGCGTTCCCGCACTGAGTTGCTCTGGCTGGCAAACCAAAAAGGCTTATAGTGTGTTTTAAAATAAGCAATAAAACCTTTTAAAGCTTCCGCTTCCGCAAATACACGGTGCGTCTCAGTAATACCTTCAGGATTTTGAAGTTTGGATCTTTGACATTAGGACCTAATACCAAGGTGTTTTAATGATTAGACACCAGGATATCTTTTTTTAAAATGTAATTTATTGTTAAGTTTGTTTCCATACAACACCCAGTGCTCAGGCACCAGGGTATCTTAAAACAGCAGTGGAGCAAAGGGCTCCATGGCTTAGAGTTTGACTTTTTCTCAACACCCAGTGATTTTCTCCCTTCATCAGGAATATCTCCTGCATATTAAAAATCACATCAAAATGCGGCAACAGAACATGAAGAAATACCTTCGGAGCCAGTGCCACCAGAAAGAGGACGCGACTCCGTCAGCTACTGTCCCCGAGTTGAGACCTTTATCCGTCCAGCTTTGGGTGGTGTTGAGCCTCGGCTGGCGTTCTCTGGTGAAGCACTGAAAATAGTCTTCAAAAAAAAAGTCTTCCATAATTTCTGGATCTGCATTTGATCTGAAAAGCCAGAAATATCCGTCAAAGCTTCCCAACAACCTATAATTCTGAGTTAAGATTTTCTAATTTAGAAAACATAAGGGGGGGGCCCACAAGATATGGAAGCTGACAGCTCAAGAGCCATCCAGCCAGATACAGATTTCTTCGTGAATAATTTCACTCTTTCTCTTGCGCAGATATGAAAAGGCATGACTGCTATTCTCTTTTTAATGCGATTTTTACTTTTATGTAAGATATACAGGTTTATGGTTTAAAAGGTCACAGAGTTCTACGAAGATTCTAACAAAAACACCAATTTCATGCTCCTCGCCCCTTTACCCCTAATCTCGTATTTCCAGAGGCAAGTCCTCTCAGATTTTTTGTCTCTATATTCTGATACCTCCCTATCTCTAGTAATATGCTCATACTGCATGTTTTTATTCTTCCATTTTGGGTGTTATTTATTGGCTTTCTGTTATGGAAAAAAAGAATTAGGTCCATATACCCACACTCTTTTCCTCTCACACTTACCTTCCTACTGCAGTTATATTATCATTTTGAATTAGGTAATCAGACAAGACGTACATCGACTGACTACAGACATGGTTATGTAATAGTTATTGCTGAGCAAATGACATGACAGCTGTGTCATGCAGTGTCCTTTGATGACATTTTCCTTTAGCACAACATTTTTGCTCTCTCTGGAGCCAGTAAGGATTTCATTGCTTCATTTGCTCAGCTTTCTTTGCTACCAAGCTACTACTTTGCTCCTGAGCTCTTCTCCAGAGGTTTAATCCTTGCCTCAATTTATTTGATCGTATCAGCTTATCCATCGGTTCCCATTTTTCTTGGGGAAATCACTCCTGAGTCCTCCATTTCCTGTCTCAATCTGGCCTCGGTGCTCTCGAACATGATGTACAGCTCTCTTCTGGAGCTTTTTCCTTCTCTATTTTCTTTTGGATTCCACTGGTCTCTCCCTTGCATCCCCAGATCTTCCTCTTTATTGGTTGCTTCCTTATGTGGGTGTAGCGTCCTATGGTAACTTTCGTACGTGGAAAGCACATTTTCTGAGACTTTGCATATCTGTAATAGTCTTTATTTTACCCTCATCCTAATAGTTGAGCTTGGGAAGAAATTCTATACGAGAAATTTTGAAGGCAGTTTATTCCATTGTCTTGTATCCTCGAAAGTTGCAATTGAGAAATCTGATGATATTTTGATTCTTATTCCTTTGGCTATGACCTGTGATTTTTCACTCCCTCAAAAGCAGTTGGGGTCTTCTGTCTGTGCACAACGTTCTGAAATTTGGTGATCTTATGTCTTGAAATTCATTTTCCTGAAATTTGTGGGTGTTTTTTACCTGAATACTTTAGATTCTTCAGTTTGCAGAAATTTTCTTGAATTATTTCTTTGATAATTTTCTCTTGTCTCTTTCTGTGTCTATTTTATTCTAGATCTATCAGTCAGATAGATTGTACCTACTGGTCTGATTATCTCTAATTTTCATGATTTTTAACCACCTCTCATCATTTCCCTTTATCTCACTTCCCATGAGATCTTTCACCTTTATTTCCAGGTTTCCTGTTAATGGTTTACTTTCACTGTCATATTTTTGTTTCCAAAAGTTCTGTTTTGTTCTTTGAATAGTCTTTTGAGCCTTCTGTTCTTGCTCTGTGTATCTGGTATCTTCTCATCTCTTAGCACTTTAAAAATATTAATGATAGTTTTTTCCCAACTTTTCTTCTGCTCCCTGTGTTGTCCTTTTAGCTTTCCGTTCTTTCCTGTTTGGTTGCTTTAGTCTGTGGTGCTAGAAGCATCCTTCCAATTCCTGATGCTCACATTGGCTAGCGGTTTACATTAAAAGTACAGCACGTGCTTGGGCTATTAGCCTGACTACAGGCTTCTAGGAACTAACTAAAAAGCAGAAGGGAGCGGGTGGGTGGGAGGGCTGTGTGCCTTTCAGTATATAAAGTTTCCTTTCTACTCTTGTTTCAGCATGCAATGTCTCTTTCTCTGTCTCTGTCTCTCTCTCTGTGTCTCTTATTCGACTCTTGCAAGAGTGAACATCCAAAAGAGGTTTCCACTGCAGAAGAGGCAGTTCCTCACTGCATGGCTGCTTCTTGTAAAGGCTTTCAAACAGTATCCAGCTCCACCTGATACCCTTTCCCCAAATCCCACTTTCAGAGAGAGGTAGCGTCTCTAAGTCCCGAGCAGTCCTGCGGTGTGGGCTGCTTGCTGCCGGGAACGCCTCACTTCCCGGCTCGTTTCAGCCTTCTTGGGTCCGCGTTGTCAGCTACTACCCATCCGTCTGCTCCCTAGTTTCCAGAATGCTGTTGTTGTGTTCTCCGTTATCTTTGTCCTAGTGGGTTGATGCTTTCAAAAAAATCCTTCTGCCAACATGTAAGAAGCATTTCAGAAAGGATAGGGGTAAATACATATGTTCAATCTGTCATGTTTAATCAAATCGTTCCCTTTTTAATGCCAGTGTTTATGTTTATGATTTTATAATTTAAAAAAATTTACTGTACCCAAAATTACGTGTGCGTCTGAATCGCTTTGGTCCTAGAAGGGTAATTCCCTCAAGCACTAACATCAGCTGGGGACGCGTTAGAAGTGCACATCCTTGGGCCCTACTCCTGACTTACTAAATAAGAAACCCTGAGGGTAGATTCTAGAATTCTGTGTTTGAACAAGCCTTCCAGGTGGTTCATATTCTTCCTAGAGTTTGAAAACTACTCCTCAGTAGGTCATTGAGGGATTCTAAACATGTCAGAAATACTGCTCAGCTCCAGATCTGTCTTCACCTCCAAACCCACAAGTACCCAGCAGACTCAAGGACTGTGTGAGATGACTTCCTCTGGCAAATCCGTCCTCCGGAGAAAATGTTTGTGGATTCAGACGCTTTCTTCTTCCATGACGTCTAGCTGTTTCCCACCTCATATGGCTCTTAGCCTGGGATTCCCGAGTCCAGAAACGTTTGCAGGCCCGGCGTGGGGGGAGAAGACACCGTTGGCAGTTGACAAGTGTGGCGAGGAGGGTGTGGCGGCGCCTTATCCTTTCCCACGTGTCAGCCGACAACAGGTTGGGAAAGGGGCCGCCAGCTTCCCGCCGGGCGCCTCAGCGAACAGCAGCACCCTGTTCTGGACCTTCTGGCGGTTCTGCACCTGACACTGCTCTCTGCCCACCTTCCGAGCTGAAGATGCTGCCAACCATCTCAGCCACACCCATCTGTCTCCAACCCCCATCTGCGTGACTCCTGAGTCCCCCCATCTGTGTGTCCCCTCCTTACCTTACCTGCTTCCCTTTCCCGGCCTCGCTAATGGTGTGTGCGTGTTTTCCTTTGGAGCCATTCCAGGGGCTCCCCTTTGAGCTCTCTCCATGGCACGGTAACGCTCCTTTCCACCTTCCCTCTCAGGTATGTCTTCACTGTCATTTATACCTTTGAAGCTTTGATAAAGATACTGGCAAGAGGATTTTGTCTAAATGAGTTTGCTTACCTGCGAGATCCTTGGAACTGGCTGGATTTTAGCGTCATTACCCTGGCGTGAGTATTTCTCCATGCTGATGTTAATGTTGGCATGGGTGCCTCGCACTCTGCTGATACCCCCTCATCTCGGTCCAGCTTCCTCACTCGGAACTGCATGGCCCCGGGTTTCCTTGCCACTAAATGTTGCTTCGGGAGTCACTTTCTAGAGTTAGTCTGATACCTTCAGGGAGAAGTCAGAGCCCTCAACTCTGAGCCTATAAATGGCCTATCAAAGTGAGCAGACACAGCTCAGCCTTGCGCCTACCTGACCTAGACATGTTTGCCTAAGAAACCAGTGTCTGAGGAGACTGGAGGGCCAAGTCCACGTGCTTGACTACTCACCCACACACGTAGTACACAGAGGGGTCCAGATCATAATGCGGCTTCTCGCAGGGGCCATTCTAAAAGATATCACAATAATTAAATCTGCGTGTCAGTCTATAGGTGGATGTGCCCTTAGATTTTGTGTCTATTCTGGATCCTACCTCAGTAGGCTCTTGTTACCCCAAATTGTCATTTATGCTGCATGTGTTCCCAGGACCCCCTCCTTGAAGAGATACTGACCGACTTCTGGTTCTACAGATACATCGGTGAAGCGATAGATCTCCGAGGGATCTCAGGCCTGCGGACGTTCAGAGTCCTTAGAGCTTTAAAGACCGTCTCTGTGATCCCGGGTGAGCAGCTTTCACCCCCTCGTGTACTCATAGAGCGTACGCCGGTTTCCACAGCCCGATGCCCTTCTTTGATTTTTGCAAGAGCACATAAAGCGCCGGGGCATGAACTGTGGTCGCCTTTAAAAGACCAAGGAACTGAGGCCCAGAGACTAGAAAACACAAGCCCAAGTCTTTGTCACTAGTGAGAGGCCAAGCGTGACCTGAAGACCCGAAAGTCCCGATTCCTAGCCCAGTGTCTGTGTGCAGCACCTCATGGTCTCACATCGATAAATGACAAGAAGGTCATGTCCTCATTTTATGCTCCTGCTGTGGGGTTCAGACAAGCTCCAGTTGGAGGTTCTCGTTTACATCGTAAACCAAGGGCCTAAACTCAGAAATAGGGAGGAAGGGGGTAGGCAGTCCCAGGCTCTAGTGAGTGTGTTTGTCATTTCCATATACCTGAAAGCTTGAGCTTCAATTCTATCTTTGGACCTACAGAGAAGAGAATTGGGCAATTCTTGATCAGAGAATTCAGAATCAAAAGCAGCCCACAGACCTCATCTTACCTCTAGACCTCCGTTGTCACCGGTATCTCAGGGGCAGGCCTCATCCTCCGCTGCGCTGGTACGCGATAGTGAGGCCAGAGACCAGGAAAAGCATTGAGACAGCCCCCACCCTGCAGCCTGCTGGATTATCTCCCTTCCCTCACCCCTGAGAATCCATGCTCTCTTCTGGAAACCAGAAACGCTCACGCGATGGGCGAAGTCCTTTCTAGTGTTCTCTGTCCAGCTCTGCAGGGAACGGTTGGGAAGTCTTCGCCAGCTTCTGCTGGACAAGCTTCCTCACTTAGTGCTGCCGCTTAGTCCCTCTCTCACCTAGTCTTAGCCAGGAAAACCCGGAGTCTTGTTTATAAGACCCGTTCTGTCCATGCTCCCTGTCTTGTCTCATCTCTCTCCGATATCCACCTTGCATAGTGTTCTAGAATCTACTGTGGTTCTACAGATACGCCTGCCTCTGCTCCTCTCCCAGCCTTTGGCCGTGCTGCTCCTCTACCAAGAGGGGGCTTCCTCTCTTCACTCAACTAATACTCCTTCCTCAGTGCTCTGCCAGGGTTTGACTTTCTCAAGGAAACTCTCTGGACTCCCCCAACTTCCCCACACTCCATCCCATCCCATCTCATCCCCACCCCACGCTTCAGTTAGGGTTTGCCTCTATGGGTGCCCACCTGCTCGATAATGCTATGGCATTTCCCCTCAGTTGCCAGACAATCCCACCACATGCCAGTGCCTTAGCCCCTGCTCAGCGCCCTCCCCAGGGCCAACGCAGGTAGTGCTCAATGCGTTATTTGTCAACCAAATAACAAGACAAGGTTCAGTGTCAGACTGCTTCCCTCTTCAGAGCTCTTTCTGCCACCTGTGAAGCTGCTCTCTCAAAGAAGCTGATTTCACTTGCCATGGCCACAAATCCTCCCTCCTTAAACAAGCAGGGACCCCAACTTTACAGTCAGCTGTGCTTGTCCCTGAGGCAGCTCCTTCTGACTCTCTGTTTCTGCCTTGCAGCTCTCCCTCTCCCTCTCTCTCTCATTGCCCTCTCTCTCTCAACACACACACAAAGGTCCACGTGTCCCCAGCCTCAAGCTGCCTCCCAGAATTGAAGTGAGGGTAGAAAAACAGATGCCAAATTGCTAGAGTCAGGTTAGTAGCCTCATGTCTGGTTTAGTGCCCCGAAACATACCAGGTATTCAACAATTATTTTTAAAATTGAATTGCTACCATCAGAAGCGTATTAGCCTTATGATGATAAGAAATCTATCAATTGGGTCTCAGTTGTCTCATCTTTACAATGGGACAATAATCTCTGCCTCCCTCTCACGGTTATTGCAAGGTTTAGATGGGGGTCTGGGCTTGGAACTGCCCTAGAGTTTGTAAAGGACCTCACACCTATATGTAGTCAAGGGATAGGATGGTTAAGATGCAGACATGCCGCACGCTGCGTGTGTGGTCCCTCATTCATGTGGAAGTGTTGCTATCATCTTCCCACAGGGCTGAAGGTCATTGTGGGAGCCCTGATCCACTCGGTGAAGAAACTGGCGGACGTGACCATCCTCACCGTCTTCTGCTTGAGTGTCTTTGCCTTGGTGGGCCTGCAGCTCTTCAAGGGCAACCTCAAGAACAAATGTGTCAAGAATTGTACAGCTCTCAATGAGACGGGCAATTACTCCTCTTACAGAAAACACGAGTGGAATTTCTGCCGTGAGGATGAAGGTAGAAATATATTTTGATTCCTCTTTCCTGCTTAAATGGTCCTCTTGAGCTATATTTTACTTTTGGGTCCCCATTTTCTGTTGCCCATATCCTATTTACAAAAAATGAGCTATGAACCTGGTGCAAGTCATTCTGCTGGGGGAGGCCCAGACTGAAGTCACTGCTCAGCTTTTCTCTTCCAAGATGGAACTTTTCTCCTTCTGAATGTCCCAGGGTACCCACTGAGGGCACATAGCCAAGGGAACGCACCTTTTGCTCAGGCAAAAGATTTAACAAGTGTTGCCTTTACCACACAAGGCGTGAACTAAAGGGTTCAGAACCATATGCAAGGCTTTCATTTCTTCCTCTCTTCTGCAGATTTCTACTACAACAAGCCGGGCACTTCCGATCCCTTACTGTGCGGCAATGGCTCTGACGCAGGGTGAGCGGCCATCCCGTGAGAAAGCACCAATGCCCAGCAGTCCTTTCTCTTTGTCATTACCATTTCCTAGATAGGGGCTGGTTTTCCGATCCCAAGGAAAGTGTAGAAATGAATAAGTCATGACTTTAGTCATCCCAGGCTCATGGGGAGGGAGTGTATGAGTTGGCATGTGCCATGTAACAAATACCCCAAGATTTCTGTGGCTTAAAACACCAGCCATTTACTTAGCTCAGGACTCTGCACATCAGCATGTTGAACTGAGATCAGCCTGCTGTTCTGGCACTGACATCTGCAGAAAATGGACAGATTAGCAGGGGCCAGCAAATCTAGCTGGTTTCAGCTGGAATGGCGTCTCTGTTCCATGTGCTCTTACACCCCAGCACGGTCTTATTCTCATGGCAAAGGCAGAGTTCCAAGAGAAGAGGGCAAGTATGCGACGTCTCTGGGGACCCACGTTTAGAAGAGACACAGCGTCACTTCTGCTGCGTTCTATTGACCAAAGCAAGTCGCTGGTCAGTGCAAACCCAGGGGATGGGGAGATAAACTGCACCTCTTGATCAGAGGAGCTGCAGCATCCTATTGGAAAGGGATATGGATACAGGCAAGGAAACAGTTGTGGCCATTTTGGTAATCTACCCCAGGAAGAAACTGATACTTATTAAATATGTTTTGTGTCAAATGTTTTACATGCAATCATCATAACTCCATCACATGGGTTTTATTATCCACACATGACAGAGGAAGAAGCCCATGTATCAGCCTTTGCCATTTCAAATTCTTACAGAGGCCAGAAACACGACAACAAATGAGAAAAGAATTCGGCTGGGTAGGAACCAAGCGATGATAGTTGTGTCCCATCTGAAAGAGCCAGCCGCCACTCAAGGCAGCTTTTGGTTGCCACGTGGAAATGTGGGTCCATTGCCTCCAGCTCTTCTAACTCTTAAAAGAGAGATAAGGAATTTAGATTTTTATGTGAAATCTCCCAACTACAAACATTGGCTACCAATTCCAAAAAATGTCTACATATTGTGGGCCAAACAAAATATTTCTGCAAGCCAAATTCAGCCTGCAAGCTGCCAGTTTGTGAGCTCTGATGCATATACATAAAGATGGTACCCTGTGAAGAAGCAGTGCTGTGCTCAGGCTCCGTGGGCTGGGGAAACAAGTAAGGCGATGGTGGGGGGCAGGGCAACAGGTCAGGGAGGGTTTCCTAGACGTGGTGGTTGAGTTGAGCCCTGAAGGGCAGGCAGGGTGTCTCCCGTTTGGTTGGACAAGAGATGGTTTGGAAGGAGGCCATTCCAGGTGGTAGAACAGAATGTGAGACAAAGCAAAGGGCCAGTGGTGCCTCAAGCGTGCCTGCTGCTTTGACCACTGGAGCCTGCGTGAGCAGCAAGAAGAGTTCAGGTGACAGATCAGCAAGGCTCATCTTTCCCATCTCTATAGTGGGGGATCTGGAGCCCTGATCCCAAATGACCCCACTCCCTGAATGGCTAACAACTCCATATATTGCCCAAGTGGAGCTGGGTGATACTAGTATAGAGCTTTGCCTTAACCTGCTCACTAGGAAAAGCAATCTCAGATACAGCTGAAGGATGGAGAGAGAGAATTTGATCAACATCAGCTCCTTGGCCTCTTTCTTCACAAATGCACATGGCATTTGCTCCTTTGGCTCAGGAATAGCATTGTTCTGATACCATTTACCTTTGGCTTCTAACCTGAAGACCCCCTCAATTCTTTTTATTGTCTGGATAATGGCATTTCTTACAGCAATGGCTCCAGAGTAGCCCAAGCACTATCTGTGGTAAAGTTATGGGGTCTACCTAGGGCCCCCAACGCAGCTCCAAAAAAGGCCAGACATCCAGCTGGGCAGGTCCTGGTCGGGAGATCAAAGGAATGGAAAGGTCTGGGAAGGCAAGAGAGGCCAGTTCAGGGTGGTGGGTGGAGCGGCCCTGAGGGGCATCCTGTGAAAACGGAACCTGCGTCCTGTGCTGGGCCACAGAGAAGCCAGAGCCCTGAGCGAAGGTCCGCGCTGACCAGTGGCGCCGTGAGAGGACAACTCGGGGTCTCAGGGTTGTACTCGAGAACAAGTACCAGGAAGCACTTCGTGATTCCCAGCATTCTTTCACGTATGTTCTTCCAGCCCATTCTTTTGGTCAATGCAATAAAAATAATGGGAATTTTAATCTGCATTTTACATACAATATTTATTATGCTGAAAGCGCCACACAAGAACCTTTGCACTGTGGTCTCATTTAATTCTCAGAGTGGTTCATTGTAGATGTGTAGCAGCTGTAGTGGGGTTTAGTGGAAGCCATAGGCATAAGGCTACCCTTGGCGTTAACTAGCAAACCTACAGGTAATAGGTTGATTAGCTCCTTCGGAGAGCAAAACAAAAGATGGTCTTTTTTTTTTTTTTTAATTTTTTTAATGTTTTATTTATTTCTAGGAGAGACAGAGAGAGAGACAGCGTGAGCAGGGGAGGGTCAGAGAGAGAGGGAGTCACAGACTGAAACAGGCTCCAGGCTCTGAGCTGGCAGTCAGCACAGAGCCCGACGCGGGGCCCGAACCCACGAACTGCGAGATCATGACCTAAGCGAAAGTCGGACGCTCAACCGACTAAGCCACCCAGGCGCCCCCAAAAGATGGTCTTTAAATGTGGGCCTAAAGAATCTAGGAACTCACAAATCTCCAACCAGATTGAAGATAAGAATTGGGATTAATTACCGTGAAGTTGCTGGGACCCTAATCAATTGTATGGGTCCCAGGATTGTGTGTTAGCAGGGAAGTCTGGGATAAGGACAGCCCCAGAGATTGATGTTGGTGAAGGCATCGTGGAGTGGTAGAATCCCATGCTCCAAACAAGGAATTACTGTTTTCTCAGCAGAGCCATCCCACTGGGGTGGGTGAGAGCACTTCACGTGCCTTGAGCTTAAAGATACTTCTTTCCAACAACTTACTTCCTTATCATGAGAGAGTAAAGAGTCAGTCCAGCACTGCCCACCTCAGTACTCACCACGAGGTCACCTTCAATTAGGCCTTCCTTCATTAGTCAGTCTCTATAGGCTATTTGACAGCTATATTTCTCCTTTTAAATAAATATATTGACATCTGTATGGTTTCAGGCAACTGACTTCCCTTCTCTGAACCTCAGTTTCCACATCTGTAAGAAAGGATTGTTAAGATAATTAAATTAGAGCATTTGTAGAGCACTTAGGAGAGAGGGAGGCACACAGTAAGTGCTCAGTAAATGGAAAGTGTCATTTTCATTATTACATATAATTGGGGAGTGAACTTGACTAATGTGAGTCCTGTGGTGGACAGGTTGGCAGGTGATGCCAAACGACTCAGGTTTTAAGTCTGCATTACTGATATTGACTCTCCCTCCCCTGGTATGAACTTGCAAAGAGTTTGCCACCTTACGGGATCAGGCCTGGGCAGTCAGCTGGCCTTCCCTGGCCACACCCCTCTGCATGAAACTCTGAAGTGAAAGTATTATCTACCCCATTTAAATATGCAAGAGAAACTGAGCCTTCGAGAGATCAAGGTCATTCAACCAATAAGAGGGAGGCCAGGCCTTACATTTCAGTCTTTGACTTGAAACCCTGTGGTCTTCCTAGGGCTCTGGGCTGCCTTGCCCCCAATAAACAGGGAGGCTGTGCAATTGATGACCTTCTCTATTCTTGCTGCAGCCACTGCCCTGAAGGTTATTTCTGTCTTAAAACATCTGAAAACCCAGATTTTAACTACACCAGCTTTGATTCCTTTGCTTGGGCTTTCCTGTCACTGTTCCGCCTCATGACACAGGATTCCTGGGAACGCCTCTACCAGCAGGTATCGAGCTGTACGTCCCCCTACAGACTTGGCTGGAGGCTGGGGAGTCAGGTGCATGCCTACATTTTTCTTGGAGAAGCCTGGCAACGTCAGGGGCCCGTGAACTCTGGATACAGATCTCTCTCCTTTCTCTCGAATCTGCAGACCCTGAGGGCTTCTGGGAAAATGTATATGGTCTTTTTCGTGCTGGTCATCTTCCTGGGGTCTTTCTACCTGGTCAACTTGATCTTGGCTGTGGTCACCATGGCTTATGAGGAGCAGAACCAGGCCACCATTGATGAAATTGAAGCCAAGGAGAAAAAGTTCCAGGAAGCCCTCGAGATGCTCCGGAAGGAGCAGGAGGTCTGTGAGGGGCGGACGCTTTGTGAGATCTGTTGCGGCTGCACATTCTTGGGCAGAGGCCTGGACAAGCCACTTACATTAAGGCTGTCATTCTAAGGAACTGTAAGAACGATTTATTGTACTTAAGCACCATCTTAGGTCGGGTTTTCTCAAGAAAGACCCTGAATCAAGATCCTGTGCAAGTGATTTATTGGGGGTGTTCTCAGTAAAAGGAGAAAGAAGGAAGCAGGATAGGACAGGAGATGAATTAACCAAGAAAGTGGCCTCAGCTGGAGGCTACTTTCAGCCTGACCCCATGCAGAGTCTGGGCCCTGACTTGTACCACAAAGTTAGCTCTGTCTTGAGGCAAGAGGCCTGGCATTTTATACCCTTGGACCCGCCCCAGCCAAATGCACAATCAAAGGAAATATTCTGCAGAACGCTGTAGCTGTGATCCATTAGCAGCTAGCACTCCGGCTGCTGCTGCTGAGGGTACTGAGCTGGTAAAAGGGGTTTGGGTGGGGCACCAGCGGGCATACAGGGTGTAAGTGAAAGGGACGGCCCAGAGGTGGCTCTCCCCGCCATGCCTCAACCCCACCACCACCCGGGTCCTAATCTTGACCTCCTCTGTTCTAGATGCCCTCATCTCTGTGACATCCCACGTCTGGGGGGCTCATTGATGCAAAGCTCAATCACATACTGCTGGCCGCAGCTGCTGTTGTCTCTCTTCAGGTGCTGGCCGCACTGGGGATTGACACGGCTTCTCTCCATTCCCACGATGGATCCCCTTTAGCCTCCAAAACCGCGGGTGAGAGAATGCACAGGCTGAAGCCACGGGCGGCAGAGGGCTCCACAGATGACGACAAGTCACCCCGCTCTGATCCTCACAACCAGCTCGGGATGGTAAGGAGCTCACGTTTGTGCTCTCAAGATTACCCACCTTGGCAGCTGCCACGGACCTTAGGTTGGACTGGGAAGAGGTTTGTAGCAGGGAGACAGCAGGAAGCTCTAGATTAGGAAGATTAGACAGCATGTCGACCCCCCACAAAATAGCCTAAACTAGGACAGGCCACTGTGGATACAGAAAAGGGGTGGATTCTGACTTTTACCGGGGGGAGGGTCACCGAGACCGGGAGTGTGGAATGTGAAAGACAGAGGAGCCCGAAATGACTCCCAGTGTCCAGAATTGGGCGCTGAGGTGGGTGGCGAGTCTAAGGCAGGAGCACGGGAGGGAGAGACCAGGTTAGTGGGGGGGGGGGGGGGGGGTGAGCCCGTACCGGGCATGCTGACCTTGAGGTGTCCGGGGCCTTGGACAGGACGCATTGGCTTCCTTCTTACACTCTGATCTGTGAGTCCATTCGTGGTGCTGAGATCATTTGCAAGCTTCTTTCTGACTTTTTGCCTCAGTCCCCACAACCCAAACTCTCACCTGTTGTTGGCAAAGAAGAGTACAGCCCCCATGTCTGTGATACAGTCCGGCCTAGGAATAACTTCAGGACCTCACCGGACCCCGTAACAATTCTGTCCACCACCCAAATCTTCTGCATCCCACATCTATACTCACCAAGCTTCCTTACACCACCTCTCTCTCCAAATGGACAAAAGAGGAAGTGTGTCTCCTTAATTCAACAATACTAGGTGCATGATGTAAAGAGATGACTAATGGTCCATTTCCCATTTGGTGGAGGAGGCAAATCTATAAACAACTGTGTGCTATATACTATATTAGGGAAACAGATATGGTATTTTGGGAATAGAAGAGGAAGCATCCACTCTTACGGGGGTGGAGGTGTATCAGGAAAGACTTCGTGGCGGAGGAGATCGTTGCAAAGAACAGTCAATAGTGAGTAGGGGTTCCTCTAATAATTGAGGACTGTGGGGGAGGGGGCAGGAGTATTTTCCAGGCCTAAAGTAGAATGTGTCTGTGCAAAAGCAGAGAGGCACCATTGGGGTACTTCTTTACTGCTAACTAAAGGACTGGAATTCATTCAGGGGCATCCCCTTCCTCTTTCCCCGGGTGCATTCCTGTGGTAAACAGACCATAAGCAGTTTTTGTATAAAGTCATTTTCTAAAGGGCAACAATGGGTGAGAGGTTGGGGGTAGCAAACTAGAGGAGACACAGCAAAGATTTCAGCGACCCCAGGACACCAGTTGACCTGCTTGGACGATGCGTTTTAAGTCAAGTCTTAGATTCAGAAGTCATTGCCCACCATTTGTCAAACAGGGAAATTCCGAAAAATATTAACTGGTGGCCAGGGAAGCACCACCTGTCAAACATGGGACCAAAATTTTCTTCTTGGTTTTTTCATTGGTTTGCTTACTGCCCAACTGCAAATAACTCGGCCATCCCCCCTTTTAATAAGGGTTTGTTAATTCTACTAAAGTAGAATTAACAAAAGTGGGAAGTACTTTCCCAAAGTGGGAAAGATTTGTGGGATTTTATGAGTTTCATAATCCTCGGACATATATTCTAGGCAAAGAACGCTCTGTTTATGGTATCAGGATTGCAGTGATAGTTGCTGAACAGGGTCGGGCTCCAAATAATCCAAAAAGGAAGCTTCAGTTGTGTGGGCTGGGGGACAGGTGAGGAGGGCTCCAATTGACAAGATGTCCCAACTTGAGTGGTTTGGTAAACAAGAGGAGTTAAGGAAGGCGGAACATTCAGCTGTATGACGAGGTTTGGTAGGAAGTCGGTGTGTAGATCTTTAGCTACAGTTCACGTGGCCTAGAACTGATAACTTGTTCTGGTCAGGCTCCCACAGTGGGGATGGGCACTCGCCAGGCCGGCGTACTCGCCCCCAGGGGCTCCGGGCCTGTGAGTGAGCTCCTTTTCTCTGGCAACGCCGTTCCCTCAGTGGAAGATTTTGATGGGAAATGTTTATTGATTTGGAGGGATGGCATGATTCTTCCAGGAAATTAGGCTGCAACTCTCCCCATTGTTGACTATTCAAAGTTTGCCTCAAGGGACCCTGGAAGCTCATTACATTACAAAGCTCTTGTCTCCTCACGCACAACACACTCTCACATTTGTATCGGCTGGATCTAATGAATTGCAGAACCTAATTTCCAGGCACTGAAGTGCACCTGTTCATTCAACGACCATTTCCCGAGCTTGTTCCGGTACTGGTGTGCATGATAGTCTCCTTGGGTCACAGCTTCCCCGTGGAGCAGGGAATCTGAGACAGCTTTGTGCGGTCCCGTGGGCCAACAGCTGACTCCTCTGGGTGACAAGATCGTCCTCTGACACCCTTGGCCATCAGGACCTATTTGCTGATCTTAAGCACCCTGTGATCTCTTGTCTGTCCTGGCCTTTTCCCAGGCATGTCAGAAATATTCTCTTCCCCTGTTCTCTTCCCATGTTTACCCAGAGTACCCCTTACATCTGTGTCTTTCATTTTTTTCTGCAAGTTCATGAGAATGAGGGCAGGGAAATAGGGGTGGGCGGAGCAAGTGTTGAGCTCCAGAAACGCTTGCGGGACGAGCTTCCAGCCTGCCTTTTCTCCTGCTCCCCCGGGGCAATGCCCAGTCCCTCCTAGGCATCACCTCTGGGAGGCGCCGGGCTAGCCACGGCAGCGTGTTCCATTTCCGGGCCCCTTGCCCGGATGCCTCGTTCCCTGACGGGGCCACAGACGACGGAGTCTTTCCTGGAGCCTGTGACAGCCATCGCGGCCCCCTGCTGCCGGGTGGGAGTGCCGGCCAGCAGGGTGCCCTCCCCAGGAGCCCGCTGCCTCAGCCCTCCAACCCTGGCTCGGGCCGCGGAGAAGACGGCCCCTCCGCAGTGCCCGCGGGCGAGCTTGGCCCGGGAGGCATCGAAGTCCCGGTAAGTCTGTCAAGGCCCCGGACTCTCTTGAGCTGCCCTCCAGGTGGAGGCCAAGGAACACCGAGGGTCACCCATGGAAGGCTCCCTCACACAACGTTGTGTCCAGCACTTCCCCACTACCCCCGTTTTACAGGCAGGGCAGGGGAGGGGCAGAGACGCTGGGTTTACCAGGGGTCAAACAGGTTTTCTGGTTTAGTCTTCAGTCCGATGATACAAATTATGTTCCGGCTGACCGCTGCCCCGTGGTTTTCAGTGTTCCTCTGTCTCCCCTCACCTTCACTGTTTTAGAGGCAGGTCGGCCTGTTCCCTGGATGGGTATGAGAACAAGGGAAGGTGCTTCTCTTTCCGCCTGGAATCTCTGCAGACGAGGCTGGGTTTGGCACCTGGGACCCAGAGAAATCCCGGGAGGTGCCCCGGACAGATATTAGCAGAAGCAAAGTATCCCTTGCTTCACTCAGTCAAGCAGTTAAGTTGCCAAAACGTACAAATTAGGCAACAGTGACTAACTGGCAAGCGCTGTTAATAGAATAATCGCGGAGTGCGATGGCAAACCAGGGACTCCTCGTTGGATTGAGAGCTGTGATTTAATTTGAGCTCTCCCTTTCGTTTCAGAAATGATGCTTCTAGTGTTTTTCATTTGCCCTCTGTGGCTAGCCAGGGACCCAGAGCAGTTTGCAAACAGACTTGTAAAGTGAGCAGGATGCGGCTCTACTGACTCGGAAAAGTCCTACAAGGTTTCCTTAGCTCCATCTCTGACTGGATGCCATGTCATCCCAGTAAGAAACAGATACCACTCGGGGCGCCTGGGGGGCTCAGTCGGTTCAGCGTCCGACTTCGGCTCAGGTCACGATCTCCCGGTTCGTGGGTTCGAGCCCCGCGTCGGGCTCTGTGCTGACAGCTCAGAGCCTAGTGCCTGTTTCAGAGTCTGTGTCTCCCTCTCTCTCTGACCCTCCCTGCTCACGCTGTCTCCTTCAGAAATAAATTTTAAAAAACATTAAAAATTTTTTTAAAAAAAGAAACAGATACCACTGCGACGGGCAGGTGGGCTCTGAACTAAGAAGGGACAGTGAGGCACTTAGAGGTGAGCAACGGTGGGTGGCTGCTCTGTGCTCACGCTGAAGAGCTGAGGAGAAGGACCAGGACCGGAGCCCGGCGAGAGCTGGGGGGTGGCACAGAACTTGCGACCCAAGTGGCAGACGCACCACAGCCCAGCAGGGAAGAAGCCCCTCTCCCTCCAGACCCGGGCTTTCCGTTTGTGCCCCCCGTTGGCCAGGCCTGACCAGGACAAGAGGGTACAGACCACCTCCCCCAGGCACAGAGCAGGGTAGAGAAGGTGGAGAGTGGGTCTCCAAGAGCCAACAAAGAGACATCAACTCAGAGCCCAAAAGTCAAAGCCAACCTGCAGGCCTCTCTTGGAGGGGCTTTAACGCTCTAGAAAACCCCTCACTCAGGAACTCCTCCCTAGATGACCACTTCCTAGGGATTCGGTCTTTGATTCATTTTAGTTAAGCTAGTCGGCTGGTGTAAGATTAACTCTTTAAGCCCTTCTGCGTCGCGTGGACGTGGATTTCAGTCACAGGGTTGCCAGTTACCAACTGAGTCACCTGTAACAAGCCCCTTAAGTTCTTCAAGCCTCCAGCTCTCCCATTAAAAAGGTTTCTAAATAGCTGAAGGGTTCAATGGAACCGTAAAGTGCCTGCACTGATACGCATTGGCTTGAAAATAACCAAAGCTGCTAGCGTCTCTTGTTGAGTCGTCATGGTGAAAATCTTCTGAACACTCTTCATATGTACTCAAGCGCTATCTCCCTGTGAACTTCGCCTCTGTGCTCATACCTGTTAAAATTGGATTCTGGATGTTAGTGCAGTGCCAGAATCAGCTGCTGTGGGCCCCGGACACCCCCATCTGGGGTAGTATGTGGCTAGAGTTAGGGTACTGAACCCAGACAGAACTTCCCGGGAGGGCCCGGGAAGGCTCAGAAGGATTGTGTCAAACAACTAACACCGGGGAATCAAGACACACAAATATGCCCTCAGAAAGAAAAGGACCGTGTGGAGTTGGGACTGAGTTGTATGCTGGGGAGAGAAATGGGCCCATCAGAAGGGAGGTCAAATAAGCCTGCTCTGGGAGAGGAATTCTGTGTGAGCACCACATGCACAGCCCAGACGGGGTCTGGGGCTGACCGCCTGACCGCTGCTCCTATCACTTCCCTTTAGTAGAAACCTCAGAGGCCCTGGAGGCAGCCCCGTTCCCACGCTGGTGCCCAGGGACTCTGTCCTCGGGCAGGAATTAGCAGGCCCTCAGGTGAGCCCAGGTCACAGCGTTAGCTACAAGCCTAAGCTCTGCTTGCACCCCCATATCTATGTCCTGGTCTCCATGCCTAAGCTCTTACCCCAAGTTCAAGAAGCAGCCCCATTTCCCAAAGCACAGCTGCAGAGGATCATAGCTTCACCAGGCAACTCAGCCACACGAGACGGGCCAGGAAGAGGCCGAGTGAGCCGTCTCTGCCACAAAAATCCTGACTGTTTGTGTCCCAGCAGGCATTTGATGCAGAACAGAAGAAGACTTTCTTGTCAGCAGAATACCTGAACGAACCTTTCCGAACCCAAAGGGCGATGAGTGTTGTCAGCATCATGACCTCTGTCCTTGAGGGTAAGTCCTGCTCTTTGGAACGTCCACAAACTGTGCTGTGATGAGTCTGCATTTGAGCAGCAGAGGGGACGCCCCAAACCTGTGTCAAATATGTCTCCCATCTGTGTCCCGGGACCCGACGTACGCCTCTTTTTTATGCCCTTGGTCCCGTCGCCCTTTATCAATGTGTTTTTCCTTGATGTGGATAATTTTTATAAAACAATAGAATCCAATGAGTTTGAGATGCTCTAGGCATCTCTTGTTTAAATGAGCCTCTTGAATGCTGAGAACACACTGAGGGCTGATGGGGGTGGGGGGGAGGGGAAAGGGGGGAGATGGGCATGGAGGGGGGCACTTGTGGGGATGAGCACTGGGTGTTATACGGAAACCAACTTGACAATAAACTGTTTAAAAAATAAATTAATTAATTAACGTCAGCCTGATATGTATTCATCAAACTAAATTTTAGAAAGTGGTCTGGCAGGCACCAGAGAATTTCAAGCTACCTCAGCTATGCAAGAGATGTTACAGTCCTTAATTTTCAAATATGGTGAAATTATCCTGTCATTTTTCATGGTTGTAACTCGGACGGTTAGAACTTTTCGTCTCAAGCCCACATTATGCTGAGCATTGGAAGATAATTTAAGTAAATTAATCAGTCAATTTAACTAAATTCTTGTTAATTCAGGGCTCGATCAATCAAATGGAAACCCACTCAGCCTCCTCAGGGATGTGTCTGAGTTCCAGATGCCTGCATCAGGCCAGGGGCTGGAGGAAGACCCTGGCACGGGGTCACGGTCAGCCGACACATGGGTTCCCAGAGCATGACTGCATCCTGTGTAACGCCTGGCTTCTTAGCCGGCCTTTATTTTGCCTCAGGGCGTGGAGAATTTGGTCTTCATCTTGTCCAGCTATGTACCTCCCCTAGACAAATTTAACAGGTCCTGGGCTGAAGGAGGGAGGGGGAGCTTAGAGCTGGTGTGTCCCTGAGAAAGGGCTCTATGTGCTCCCTCCCAGCCCAGGGCTGAATCCTCGCTGTGGGGGAGGGCATGGCGAAACCAAGAAGGAAACCAAAAAAAGATGTCTGAGGGATTTGAAAACAGAACCGATCTATGCCTTACTTTCTCGGTGAAGTGAGAGGTGGCAAGTCTTGGAAAAAGACCCAGATGCCCGACGTGGCCCAGAACTGTGCAGTAGAGCACAGGTGACCGGCCTGGGTAGAGAAGGCCGGAGGCAGCTTTGGAGGGTGCCCTCCAGCCTGCAGAGCAGGAAAGTAGCCAGGTGATGACCTTGCCCCACTTGAGGGCTATGGAAGGAGGTGAGCGAGAGGCGGGAACAGCCGTCTCTGTGGCTCTCCCACCAGAGACCACATGGGAACTATGATGACTCTAGTAAAATACACTTGGCAATGACCAAGGACCAGCTCGACACTCCGTCGATCCTGAGCTCCCCAGAACCCAGACACAACTTCAGATAGTGAAGTAGTAGCAGACGCTGAATTAACCAAAACAAGGTCCCCAGGTTGGGGACTGCGGTATATATTGAATTCAATTATGGGGGGAAAAACCCTCAAGTTACTTTTCTCGCACGCATGAATCTGTGTTTTGTGAAATGTATACACATTTCAGTAACAACAGTGTGTACATTTCTCTCATATTATTGATCCTCATTATTTAAAAACCATTTTTCATTGTAATCGTGTCTGTATACCTAACATTTTCTGTGGCTGCCTGGAATCTAACCATGCTATGCCCGTGATTTTTTTTGGCCAGGTGGGTTACTTGGATTCTTTTTCCTTTTTGCTTTTAGCCATCAGACAGTTAATGTTAAATACAAACAGCTTGCTTTTTCATTTATTCCCCAGAATTATCAAGCTTCCTCCGCCTCTCTTTTTTCCCCATTTATTTACTCTTCAACAAGCATTTGCCGAACACCTGCTATGTGTCTGGCATCACTCCGGTGCTGGGAATTCAGTGGTGAACAAGAAAGAAGCCTGCACACATGGAATCTGCGTTCTAGGGGGTGGGGTGTACAGATAAACACAGATATTCAGGTAGCGATAGTAAGCAGGAGACGGGGGAGGGGGGCTACACAGGGGCTGTTTCAGATAAGGGGGGGGGGGGCAGAAGGCCAGTCTCTCTGAGGAGACCAGAAATATCAATGAAGTCAGAGAAGCAGTCTTATGAGAATCTAGGGGACAGAGTTCCAAGATGATGAATGGCCCATGCGGTGTAGTGAGCAGGAATGAGACAGCAATGAGCCAAACAAATGTTCTAAACATGTCCCACTTCAGGCATGAACAAAAGAGGCGTCAGAGTCCATGAGAAGCAGCAGAGGCTAATAGTTAAGAGCACAGGCCCTGCAGCCTGACATCTGGCTTTGCCACTCTGGGGGAGCTGTGTGATTTTGGAGCTCCTTGAACTCCTCCGTGCTTCAGCGCCTAACCTGTAAAAGGGTGAATATGTATTGATCTTCTTGTGTTTTGTGAGGATTAAGTGGGTTAGCTAAGTAAAGTGCTTAGATCCATGACTGGCACTTAATAAATATTCAGCAGATGTGGGCTATTCTTTTTCTTTTTAAATACTTGTTTGTTTGTTTGTTTGTTTGTTGGGGGGGGAGAAGGGCAGAGAGGGAGGGAGAGAAAGAATCCCAAGCAGGCTCCTTGGGATCGAGCATTATGCAACGTGAGCTCGATCTCACAAACTGTGAGATCATGCCCTGAGCTGAAATCAAGAGTCAGATGCTTACCCGACTGAGCCCCCCAGGCGCCCCAGATGTTGGCTATTCTTATTTACTCCGTTGTAAATGAGGGCAGAGATATGTCTGTTTTGCTCACAGCTGGATTTCCTGCACCTGAAAGAACCGTGCGTGGCATGTAGTAGGCACTCAACAAACAGTTGGTGGTGGATGAGAGGATGTACAAAGGTGACATTTGCAGGTGGTGCTAATTACAGTGACCTGAACTGATAAACAGGAAGAGAATAAGAAATGGTTAGATATCTCGAGGTAGGACAGACTTCCCCTCAAGAAAGATGCCGTGAGAATAGACGGAAAAGCAGGAAACACACTGACGTTTTTAAGAGAATCTGGGTACGGACAACCTCAGATTAGGGCAAAGAGGTCAAAGTTGCTTGAGTGTAGGGCGGGTGACCTGTGATCTTCTCTGGTCTGATGTTATAACCACCACACTCACGGGATACAGGAGTGCGTGGCACTGTCGGGGGCTGTGATGGGGTGTACAGAGGTCACCTCTCTGGGCGTGATCGTGCCTGGGAAAGTCTGGCCCAAACCAATGAGAGCTTGGCAGTGCCCTGAGCTCAGGGCACATGAGCCATCTTTGCTTGACACGCAACCAAGGACTTGACAGTCATCCAGAGCAGAAGGCCAGAAGCACACAGCGTGGGCACAAGGCAGTCTCCTGTGCCCTCGTGCTGAGTGGGAGAGACGGACATGAGTGTCGTGACGGAGAAGTGCAGGATGCTAAAGGAAATATGGTAAGTTTAGCCTGGGGTTAGGGAATATTCCAAACAAAAAGGACAGCAAAATCTCTGAGGCAGAAGACAGAAGACAGCATAACATTTGAAGAAATGAAAAAGCCTGGTGTGGCAGGGACGCAGAGAGCAAGGAGAGGGGCTCAAAATAAGGCTCGAGAGACGGCCTGGGGCCAGGCCCGCGGGGTCTCCTACACCAGACTACGGATTTTGGACTTCATCCTAAAAGCAGCGAGGTGCCGTTAAAGGATCGGAGGCAAGGGAGCTACATTTGCATTTTGTAAAGGTTACTCTGAATACGTGCAGAGAACGGAATTCAGAGGGGAGACTGTTGGCAAGGAAACCAGCGGGGAGGAAACCAGCGGGGAGATGGCAGTGCCTGGACTCGGGTGGTGACAGTGGGGTGATAGGAAACGGGAGGGCTGAAGAGCTAGTGACGTAGGATTCGGGACTTGGTTCTCACGGGTCTGGCATAAGCAACTTACTGGTGCAAGAACTCATAAGGGGAACATGTTAGGGGGGTTCACTGGGGAAAGATGAGAGGAAAGATCACCAGTTGAGTCTGGGATTGAGTGGGTTTCGGATGCCCTTGGGCTTTAGTCACATGGACATCCAGGTAGGGATTTCCGGTAAGAAGTCAGATTTACAATACATGGGCCTAGAACTTAGAAGATGAGGGTGACCTAGAGATACATATTTTAAAGCCGTTTGAACGTAGATAGTAATTTTGGGAAGGCGCAAGTGGAGTAGATGACACTGAGGGGCCTGAGGAAGAAGAGAAGACCTGGACAGAGCTCTAAAGATACTGTAATGTTTGGTGATTGAGCAGAAGGCACAGAGCCGGCCCTGGAGGCTGAGAAGGAGTGCCACCAAATAGGAGAAGACCCAGAAGCACACAACACAGGCCCAAGCGTCTGAATTCCTTCAGGAAGAGCAGAACGGTCAAATAAGGCAACGCTGTAGAAAGACCAAGTAAGATCAAGCCCAAAAAGAGGGGCGCCTGGGCGGCTCCGTCGGTTGAGCGTCCGACTTCGGCTCAGGTCAGGATCTCTGGTTCGTGGGTTCGAGCCCCGCGTCGGGCTCTGTGCTGACAGCTCAGGGCCTGGAGCTGCTTTGGATTCTGTATCTCCCTCTCTCTCTGCCCCTCCCCTGTTCATGCTGTCTCTCTCTCTCTCTCTCTCAGGAACATTAAAAAAAAAAAAAGAATCCAGGGCTTTAGTCACATGGATGCTTTTGGTGATCTGAGCAAAAGAGGGCTGGCAGAGTAGGGAGGAGGGTGAAGAGCGGGGGTGCCGCCAGGGTGTAGGTAGCTTTGAAGGAAGATTTTGTTGTGGTTGTTTCTTGCGTGGAAGCTTTTAAAAGCATATTTGCAGCAACGCGGTTCGAACTCGAGGGTGTTATGCTAAGTGGAATAAGTCAGGCAGAGAAAGACAGGTATCATATGTTTTCACTCATGTGGATCTTGAGAAACTTATCAGAGGACCATGGGGCAGGGGAAGGGGAAAAAGTAGTTAGGGAGAGGGAGGGAGG